TGGTTTTGAGGTGGGGGGTCTTGCTATGTAGTACAGGCTGGCCTCGAACTTGCAGCGATCCTCCTGCCTCAGCCTCCCAAGTGCTGGGATTACAGACGTGCTCCAACATCCTTGGCTAGTGTCCAGCTTTGTTGAGTATGGTCTCCTGGAACATGGCATAGTAAGGAAACCCTCCAGGTAGCCAGGTGTGCTGCACGCCTGTCATTCCAACTACTCTGGAGGCTGAGGCAGGAGGATCAAGTTTAAACCCTGCCTGGGCAATTCAGTGACAGATCTTGTCTCAAAATAAAGGATGAAAGGGCTGGGGCTGGGGCTAAGGGCGGAGGCCCTGGGTGACAGTGGCTCTTGTATGTGCTTTGAGAGCAGAGGGCACATTCCAGCCCTGGGCTTGCCTGCACCCCTCCCCAGCCTCCAGCCTGGAGCTGCTGGGGATTAAGAGATTTTCCAAGGGGTTTGTGGCCCAGAGGGCACCTCCCACAGAGGACAGGGTGGCCTCGCTCTGGAGTCACCGGGAGGGCAAGAGGCCCCGTGCCTGCTCCCTACCCACTGCAGAGGTCACGGAGGGAGAGGGAACACTGCAGCCTCCGCCACCCTCTTTGGTGGGAAAGGACTGATCTCCGGGGACAGGCAGAGACGAGTTGCTGAGGATCTAAGTGGCCGGCGTAATCCTGGCTGTGTCCCTGCTTGCAGCACTTAGTCACCCTCGGCTTTGCCGGAAGAGCCAGGCTGTGTTGGGACAGGGTCCCTTGAAGAGCACAGGGCAGCTGGCCCGCTTGGTGCTGCTGTGTGCAGGGCACAGAGGGACAGGTGTGGGGCATCCTGGTGGAGGGGAGACTTGTGGGGCTGTCCGAGCACCTGGGCAGAGCGCCTGGGCAGAGCAGCAGTCGGAGGGTGTGACTGGGTTGCACCGGGTGTGGGCCAGGTGGCCTTGGGGTGCTGGGCTCCAGGTGCGGGCCCAGGGCCCAGCCTGCATGCAACGCACTCCTGTTACTCCGATTCACCCCAGGAAGCAGTGGGACCTCAGTGGCCCTGCTCTCTCTTCCCCTGGGTGAGGTGACAGCATCCACCCGCCCCATCTGGCCACAGCAGGGTCGGTTCCCTCCCTCTGCCAGCCCAAGGCCTCTGAGTTCTGGCCAAAGAGCCCACCCAGCTGGGCTACACTGGCACGGGGGAGCCCACGTTCCCACTGGGGTCGCCTGGGGGTGGGTGCTTGCCCACCACCACTGTCTTCCCCACCGGGATGCCTAGTGGCAGAGGGTCAGGGCCACCCCATGGTGCCTCTGGAGACCCCTCACTCCTGCTCTTCCTGCTGCTCTGTGCGGGAAGGCAGCCCAACCATGTGGTTTGCAGACAGTCAAGGCCCCTTGGCACCAGCAGCCCCAGCAGTGAGAGGAGAGCGGACCCTGGGCGGGGCCCGGCGTGAGTCCTCTCCCGAGGTCTCCGGATCTAAGGACCCGCTGCTGCGCTCCCTGTCCTACTGGGCCTCAGAGCTGACCTGGTCCTGGCTGCTGAGGGCTGGGGCTGGTGAGTGTGGGGTACTAGAAGACAGCCTGTGCCCATCAGAAGGGCACCAGAGGGTGGCATCCCAGCCAGCAATGGGACCTCACCCTCGCCCTTGCCCGGGAGCAGAGGCTGCCTCAGTTGTCTTCCACCTGCTTCCTCCAGCATCAGGGCCCAGCCCAGGCCCTGGGGGGTGGTTTCCTGGGTCTGCCCAGACCTTCTGGGTCCGCCTCTGGTCTCATCAGTTGACAGGTTGTGATACAGAGACCTTCACAGGGATGAGAAATGCAAACTAACTGCTGGGCCCTAAACTGTGACTCAGCCAAGGCATGATTTGTGTTCTGAAGCTGTCAGGGACTTGAAAGGGTTTTGTTAAAAATGGTGTCTTTTCACTTGGGCCTACAAATGCCCAATAAGTAACTAAAAGTAGAACAACCTGGGCGTAGTGGTGCACACCTGTGGCCCCAGCACTCAGGAGGCTGAGGGAGGAGGATCTCCAGCTCAAGCCCAGCCTGGGCTGCAGAGTGAGACCCCATCTCAAACCCTTCCCCGTCAAACCAAAAGCAAATAAAAGTAGAACAAAGCTGGACCTTTATTTGAAAACTCTGGGTCAAATCCTTCCCAGCTCTACAGAGGAGGCTTTGTTATGAGTGTCTGGCTAAAGGTTGCCGGAAGGTTTAATAGCCCCAAGTTTGGCCCACTTCTCACCACTGCAGACTGAGGACACCAGGATGAGCGGTTTATGGGGACCTTCAGCTGTGCCTTAGTCTGCACTGCCCTACACTTGCCACTTGGAGTCCAGCGGAGATCACAGGACCAGCTGTGCCGTCAGCCGAGAGTCCCCCTGTGGGCACCGTGTGGCCCTCGAGTAGAGAGGACCAGCCCGGGGCCATGGTCCCTGCACCCTGGCCACCTCAGCAGACCCTCATGCTGTCCTGCCTGGGGGTGGCCAGGCTGACCCTGGCCTTAGAGTGGCCCCTCGTGCTGCCCGCCCTGGGGTCCTTCCTTCTCCTCCTTGCTCTTCCCTTCCTTGCGGGAAGGAGCTGGAGCTATGTCAGAGCTCTGTGTCCCTTCACCTTCTGTCTTTCAAGGACAGTTTCCCCTGCAATCTTCATGCTTCAGTTATAACTTCCATCCTCACTGAAGCAAGGACCCACGCTGCCTGGTGCACAAGACCAGCAGGACACGAGGCCTATTCACCAAACTTTGGTCCTTTCTTCTTCCTTTTTCCTTCCTTCCTCCCTCCCTCCCTCCCTCCCTTCCTTCCTTCCAGGCCTGGACCTCGGGGCAGACCCAACCCTGCCCCACTGGGGCCCCTTCAGGCCTTCACCTGCTCCCACATCCACTCTTCCCTGTGTGCCCCTCGCCCACGAAGGAGAAACCTTCACCTAACCCTCAGCTCCTCGTTGCAACAGTCCTCCCCACCAAGAATCCTTATGAAGTTTCTCCAGCACAAATCCTGGTTTTTCATTTCACAATCTCCTTCCTGACACCTGCCAAAACAGCTCCCGTGCCCTGCGGGAGGTGACAAGCCCCCTGCCCGGCTCCTGGCCAGCTCCTGCCCAGCCAGGCTGTGCCCTGGGCCCTCCCCAGGTCCCTGCGCTTGCTTCATGCTGCTGGCCCCTCATCTTCCCGGGAAGCCGCAGCTCCCTCGAGTGGTGAGCTGTTTGTGTGGACACAGGGCGTGCACGGCCCCTGGAACCTTCCCTGAGTTCTTGTGTCTGGCCCCTGAGGCTGGGCAAATCTTGGAAGGAACAAAGCCAGAGTCCCTGCCCTGCGGGCTCTGAGTGAGCAGGTGGTGGCCGTGACCCCACACTGGGGCACCGTCCTGTGTCCCGTGGGGAGGGGAGGGGTTGACCCCAGGGCTGCGGGCAGGGACCGTGCCCAGGGTGCAGCCAGGTTCCCCAAGTCCAGTCCCACAACAGACATCACGCAGGCAGGGCAGGGACAGCAGGGTGTCACCACGGTGCCCATGTGGCCCAGCAGGGGAGAAACCCAGGCGGAGGCAGGGAAAAGGAGCTTTGGGGTCAGCACCACCTTGCCCGAGTGGGCCCAGGTGTCCACGCCCCGTGCTCAGCCTCTGGGGAAGGGGGTCCTGGCAGCCAGTGCCCCCTGCACAGGGTGGAGATCTCATCTTTGCCTTTCCCAGGAGCTCAGGTCTACTCGCCAGGGACACCCCTCAAGAGCTTCCAGGGCACTTCCTGCCTTGGGGCAGCAGCCGGCATCTGTGCCCTGGAAGAGCCAGGCAGAGAGCTCAGCAGCTTGAGCCTGGGTGGGGTGGCCAGTGTGGAGACACGGGGTGGCTTCCTGGACAGCGACAGGGCCCAGGTAACAGCTGACCTGGTACCGCCCAGGGTGGCAGCGGGTGCTCCAGCCCACACAGGGGACTGTCCCAGCCCTGGGGCTCTGGACACTGGCCTTCTCTCTCAGGAGGCAGCTGACTCTCAATTACCCTTAATTACAGGGAGAGGCGAGGCCACCGCCTGTGGGGAGTTATTCCTTTTACCTCTGGAAGGTTTGGGCCTGCCCTTCCTGGCTGGGAGGATGGTCATTAAATCTCTCAGAAGAGGGCGGATGGGGACAGGGACGGGGGGTGGGGGATGGGGAACGGCCTCTCTCAGATTTCGCCCGTCTCAGCAAGACAGAGCTCCAGGTGACCCAAACCGCTGCAGGGCCCCCTCTGGGTGGCAATACTGAGGGGCACCTCCCAGGGGCCTAAGTGCCTCCCTCACCCACCTGTTGGAGAGCACCAGCCACAGACCCTGGCCTCCCATTCCAGCAGCCCTGCTCTGCTCCGTCAGCAGGGGGCACTCGAGCACAAGACCAAGCCACACCTGTGACCAACCAGTTCCTGGGTGAAGTCGCCCTGGCCCTGCGGGTCCTTCCCCAACACAGCGTGACTACTAGGAGAGGCCCCAGCCTTGAAGTCAGGGCTCTCCAAGCAAACACTCAAGGGAAACGTGGAAATAAGGACACGGATGGCCTTCAAATCTGTTTGTTCTTTTGAGTGAGACTGGGTCTCTCTATACAGCGGAGGCTGACTTTGGAACCCTTGATGATCTTCCTGCCTCAGCCTCCTGAGTGTGGGTTTACACATGCACACCACCACACCTGTCCCTCATTTCTTGCTGTCCCTGGTCCCACCTTGAGCTAGCCCTCGAAGTGCTGTGATCCCGAGTTGCCTGCCTGCCCAGCCAGGCCAAGCCCGCCTGCCTCAGCCTTATCCTGAAACTTCTCCCTTGTGGGCTAGAGTGTCTCAGCCCCAGGGTCACGTAGCCCAGGACCATTCAGCCCTGTCACCCTGAGCCCTCCCGTAGGAAGCCAGGGCCACTGACAGCCCCCAGCACCGGGCTGATGGTCCTCCTCCAGCCCCAGCACCACGGGCTCAGGGGTCATGGTGAAGGACACCCCCAGGGCAGGACCTTCCTGAGAGAGCTGGGCCCAGGAGCCCCAGAACATTCCCACGCAGAATCAGACATGGAAGGAGAGAACACGGCAGCCTCAGAATTTCCATAGCTTTTTATTAAAAAAAAAAAAAAAACGAAAAACACCAAAACCCCACAATACAACAGCACTACCCACCCTAACAAGCTAGTGTAACAGGTTAGCCGTGAACACAAGAATGAAGATGCCCAGCCACGTGTGTCACTCTCTGGATGTCACAGGGATGGGGTGAGGTGGCGCCTGCACCCCCCGGAGTCAGCGAGGCAGTGCTGACTGCAGGAATAAATAAACGTTGTACCCACAGTACCCGTCCATTAGTAAGAGGTTAGGACAAAACACGAAGCAAAGGGTTGCACAAGATGCTTTGAAACGGAACCCCCACAGACCAGGACCCTGGGGCCAGGTCAGCCAGGTGCGGCAGCAGAGAGAGGGGCTTCCAAGTCTGCCAAGTCTCTGCGTACAGCCTGGGGTCTCCCCTTGGGTGGAGGGCAGGTGGGGGGAGCCAGCGCCGTGAACCTTGAGCTGCCCGGCCCTGTGGGGCGGGGTCCCCCACTAGAGGAGGCACCGGGACCCGTCCGTGCTGCTCCCACCCAGAAGTGACCCAAGCACACGGTGGCCCCTGTAGCCGCCCCCTCTTCCTGATGTGGGCAGTGGTCTGTGGCCAAGGCAGAGCCCCAGAGAGTGGCAAAGGTGTGTCCCGAAGTCCCTGCCACCTATCCTGAGATGGAACACCTCTCCTCCTGGCTGCACCTGGGAGCCAGAGACCACACCCTGCTGGGGAGCTGAGGAGGCTGTGGGGGGCTCTGGGCTGCCCGCTGGGGCAACGGCTGCCCAGCGCCTGCAGTTCCCAGAGGGGGACCTGGCATCTTGAGGGGGGTCGTTCTCACTTTTGCCCCTACGTTTATGACGACATGGTCAGAGGGCTGGGGGCGGCTCAGTGTGAGCACCTGCCTAGGACTTGGGTTCCCTCCTAGCACTGTGAAAACAAGCGGGGAGCCAAGCGCACACAGCGGGGCTGTCTGTCAGTGCAACCCGTGGTCATGACAGTGACGTCCGAGTCTCAGTAGTTCCACGCACCCTGTGACAGTAATCTGGTCCCTTCGAGGCGTGCTGTGCTGCAGATAGCGTTAGGCGAGGAAACACCACCTCCTCGCCCCTCTGCCCCGGTTCTCTAAAAAGTAATCACCTCAGGGGTGTCAACACGACCCCGAGCTGAAGTTACAACAAGAACTAAACTGAAAACAAGGGAAGGGAGCAGGGCCGAGGTGACAGGAGGTCCCTTGTGCCCAGGAAGCCATGAGCAGACGTTCATCTTCCAGGACTAAATTCGTACCAGAGTTTTCACCACCGCCGTGGGTGCCTAACCCATGGAGGGGCAAGCGGGAGGCCGGGCGTCTGGCGGTGCTCGGGGCCGGAAGCTGCTTTTCCGAAGGCATGTGGTCTGAAAACAGCTGCGTGCTCTGCCCCTGTGGCTTCCGGGCATCTGGGTTAGGTCTCCTGCGGGACCACCTGCAGGAGCTTCTGGCACAGGACCGTCATGGAGACTGTGGGAAGAGGGCGGGAGTGAGGCTGGGTGGCACAGGTCAGGGCTGGCAGGGTGCGAGCCGGGCTGCTGTCTCCTCCTTGGGAAGCCAGGCCTCTGCAGCCTGGCCTACGCTGTCCAGCATAGCACAAGCCAGAAACCTGTTTTATAGAAACCTGCAGACCTTGCTGCGGACGCCAGGCCCCGCGCCAGGCTCTCCCTGAACCTGCCGGCCAGAGGCAGAACTCCAAGCAGCCTGAGGCTGATGGGATGGGAGCCGCTCACCCCGCAGAAGCCTGAGCCTGGGTAGGACCTGAGCCCATACCCCAGGCCTGGGTTCCAGGGAATACCCCCTTTCGCAGGTCCACACCCTGCACCACCCTGGCTTGAGGCAGCCAGTGTCCTACAGATGGGGGCCACCCGATGTTCTCCAAAAAGCAACCTGTCTGGGAGGGAGTCTGGTTCAAGAGGACAGCACCCCACCTTGGGCTCTGGCTGGGTCTGAGTGGGTTGGGCTGGGCACACACCCCGCTCCAAGGATGGGTGGCCCCCGGGCCCCTCCAAGGGACCATGAGGACTGAGGGCGGGTCCTCAGTCCACACAGGGGCCATAGGCCCTGTGCCTGCTTCGACCAGCAGCCCGGGCTCCCCTCTACCCTCTGGGTCAGAGTCTCATCCCTGGGGTGCAAGGGCCGCCCTCGCTCTCAACCCACCACAACCCAAGCAGGAAGCCACGCCTCCCAGGGACCAGGCTAGGCGCTGGGTGGGGACGGGGTCCTCAACACTCACAGATGGCCTGTAGGAGCCACTTGGGCTTGTTCTTCCACCAGACCCCAAAGAAGTAGACGGGCAGACCGCTGAGGATGATGGTGAAGCCGATGGCGCACTCCACAGGCGTCTTCCAGAAGGACACGGCGATGAGGAACAGGCAGGCCAGGGTGAAAAACACCGGCAGGGCCAGGCTCACCTGTGCAGGAGGTGAGGTGTCAGCCACTGTGCGCACCAGCCCCACGGAAAGACCCACCTCCACCCCACTGACTGTCCTCCAGTGTCCCAGCAGCCGTGACCAGTGGAAGGTGAGTCCACACCCCGCACAGCTTCACCCAGACTCACTCAGCACAGGAGGCTGAGCGGGAGTGGGTGGGCTTGGGCTGCCCTGGCCTGAGTCCACCCCGGGAGAAAACGGGCTCAGGGCCCAGGTTCCCAGGGCTGCGCCCTTGAATGCCCTTGCTGTGGGCAGTGCGGCCATGTGGCAGGGCCTGGGCAGGACCTCCCACTGGTGTCTGCTCCCAAGGCCCTGGTTGCTGGCGGGCAGCAGCAGGCACAAGCTGGTCCCCAAGAAGGGTGGGGCACCGCTGGTGTGCCCGGGTGCCCTCTCCCAGGCTCTCCCCAGGATCATGCTGCGGCCACCTGAAGGTTCACGCACCCAGCCTTGAGGGCATGGAGCAGGGCCTGGGACATGGCCTCACCCGCTCCCTCCCTTGACCCAGGCTCTCCTGTCCCACTGGCTGGAGCACAGGGAAGAGGCCTGTAGTGGGCACCAGTGTGACGGCCTTGCGCCAAAGGGGAACTGGCCGGGTGACAGGAGCTGCCAGCCACTGGCCACCACGTGCCTTCCCTCGCCACCACCTCCACGCAGAGCCATGCCCGGCACTCCTGAGCAGCTGGGTTAATGAATCCCCGCCCTTCTGCGCACTGTGTCGGTCCACCCTGGCCGGAGCAAGGCTTCAGGACCCAGGTTTGCTGAAGGGAGACAGGCCAGGCAGGGACAGGACCAAGAGGCCGTCTGCCAGCCAGGCTCCTGGGGACACCCGGGCCCTGCCTGCCACTGCGTGGCCCAGGCTAGGTGCACACCTTGATGGGCCGCTCCAGCTCTGGCTTCTTGAAGCGCAGCCAGATCATGCCGATGATGGCCAGGGCCACGCACAGCCAGTTGAAGAAGCTGAAGAAGTTGATGACTGAGAAGATGTCCTTGGAGAAGGCGTAGAGCAGGGTCATGACGCACTGCAAAGAGACAGCGCGGCCCTCAGTGCGGGATGGCGGGCAGTGGACACCCGGAAACGGCCTCGAAAGGGAAACTGACTGGCAGCCCATGAGGTCTCGGGGGGTCGGGGAGGCAGGAGCCGGGGGTCAAACTGAGGGGCTGTTGTGGAGGACGAGGAGGGAGAGTGGGGCTGGGTGGGCTGCACCTCCCTCCAAAAACAGAACGTGGTAGCCAGGATGGAGCGAGAACCACCCAGGGCTTTCTCCTTGCTTGGCGCCGAGAAGGTGCCCTGTGCTGCCCACCCACGCCCACCAGGTGGCCCTGAGGCAGAGCCCTTGGCCATGGAGAGCACAGCCTCCCAAGAGACCCCAAAGACAATGAGCACCGAGCCCAGGCCGGTTCCCAGCAGCTCCCCTGGGTGGGGCGTCTGAGGGTCTCTACGGCTGGGCTGCTACAAGTTGCATGTTGAGTTACAGACTTAGGCTCCAGAGTCTCTGGTGTCCCTGGGGTCTGTGCAGCACATGCCCGAGAACACCTCCCAACATCTGCTCCAGGTAGTGCTGGCGCCGTGGCCACCAACTCGGGCAGTGCGGTGTGGGCGTAAGTGTGGAAGAGCTAGGTGTGCACAAGGCCCTCAGAAGGCTTACCGTGAACAAGAGGGACGGCACGGGTGTCAGGAGGTCGGGGTGGATCATGGAGAGGACCGAGGGCAGGTGGCCCTCCCGTGAGCCCACAAAAAACAGCCTGTGGATGGAGAGTGGGTGGTCAGTCCCTACTGCCACCCTGCAAGACGCAGATGCCTAGACCCCTCGGTGCGGGAGGGAGCGCAGGGCGACCCTCACTCTCAGGGTGTGCAGAGGGCGCAGGTCTTGCTTCCTGCAGCCATGCCAGCTAAGCGTGGTGACAGTGGACGGCTCTCAAAGCACAGGAAGGTGGGGCAGGGCCGCAGGACTCAGGGTGAGCTCACCTTGAGGACGTGAACAGGGACCCATTGACCGAGCCAAAGCAGGACAAGCCCACGAAGACCGGGATGATCCAGGACATGACTCCCAGGTGGTAGTTGCCGAAGTCCTGGGGACACAGTCCTGTGAGCCTCAGCCAGGTGGCAGGCAGCCCCACCGCTCAGGAGCTCTGCCTGTGACCTGGCTCTGCGTCCGACCACTCCGAGAGACTTGGGGACCCTGCAGCAGGCTCCTCAGCCACCCTCGCTGCACTCGGTGTCCTCCAGCTACTGAGAGCCAAGGGTTGTCTGGGGTTGGGGCTCTGCCTTCCTTGTTGTGGTCTTGGCAGGCAGTGGGTACTGAGTCCACTTGTTAAGTGAGCCTTGGCCACTAGCCCAGATGGGGGGTATGGGGGTGGTGGCAGAGCCCTGGGGCTGCAGAGGCCAAGCCATGCTGCCACAGGACTCTCAGCCCTGCCGCTGCCCTAGTGCTGCTGATTCCTGAGGTCTAAGGGGGATGCTGTGCCTCTGGACATGGACTCCAGGACGCCAGGAGGTCCCATGGACATGGGATACCAGGAAGTGATTTATCACCCAATTGGGTGCTGCCTGGGCCCCAGGACTTTTCAAGCCGAGAGATGTCAACAGCAGCCAGGCAAGGATGCCCTGTACTTCCCACTGTCCCTGAGGAGACTGAGGACAAGGACTCCAGCCCCTGGGGCAGGAGTGAGGTCTCCTGCAGGACCTCTTGGACCCTGGGCCTTACCACGGCCACGGCCTCGGACGACAGCATCTGGTCAGTAGACAGTGTGGTGAAATAGGCCAGGTTGGTCAGCACGTACACCAGGGTGACGATGGGCAGGGAGATGATGATGGCCAAGGGCAGGTTTCTGGGAGCCATGGGGAAGGACACACATCAGAGCGCAGCCCAGGGCCAAGGCCTGGACCTCCGGCACCCCATGTCTGAGCCGATTCTTGGGCACATGGTGAGGGTGCCAGTTACAGGTGCTTGAGGATGGAGGTGGGTGACTGCATGAACCCAGGGTCCCCCTCAGCAATGCCAGCCTCAGGGCCCCCTGACCACTGAGGGTCCTGCATGGTGACCATGAGGGTCGAGAGCGTTGGGGCCACCCAGTCGGAATGTCCCCACCCTGGTGGCTCTGCACGGCCTGCCCAGCCCCCACCCGAGGGCTGTCTCGGTTCCTGGGAGCTGCAGCCGGTTCCCTCCGGACCTCCCTTCCACGTGGGGACCTGGGACACCTGCAGCATGCACACTCTCCACCCAGGCACGCTGTCCCACCCCCAGGATCCCATCCAGGTCACAGGGCCCCACCAGCCAGCTTGGGCCTGTTCCAGGGTCCCCCAACTGCAGGCCAAGCCAGAATGCCGTCGCTCTGGACGTACCTATAGGGGTTGATCATCTCCTCTGTGACGAAATTCAGGTAATTCCTAGAATCCAGGCCACATGTGTTACACATTATTCCCTTGAGCATTAGGACAAGGGGTGATGATGCCCTGTGCCCACGACGCTCTTCCACCCATGAGCCCTCTGCGGGGGGAAGTCGGCCCCATTCCCGAGGCAGACGTGGAGCCATGACCCAACTCATCCCTGCCGCCAGTGAGCACTAAAGGCTGGAGCCAGCTTCCAGATTGCTGGGGGTCAGTCACCAGGGAGAGGGTGCATGGGTGGCCGCAGGGACAGCACAGCTCTCACGCCTGTGCCTACTCTGGGCACCCTACCTTCCACACCTTCCCCACCTGCCCACCCTGTGCACTTCTGTCCCCCTGTAGCCATCCTGAGGGCCGACGGACACAGGTCCCTGTCCCGGGCTGACCTGCAGGCCACGCACCAAAGCCATCTTGGCTTCTTCTGAGGCCTCTTGTGCTCTATCCCACCTGCTCTCCGGCATGGTCTGGAGACGGGATTCTGGACATGTCAGGGCCCCAGATGTTCCGGGACTTACCATCCTCCATAGGCAAAGAGGCCGCTGTACAAAGCCAGCACGATGTTGCCCACATCCAGGTTGGTGCCTTCAAAGGAGAACTTGGGGTCGAGGTTGCATACGTCACCTGGCACAGGACAGAGAAAGGCATGCTGGTCAGGGCATGTTGGAAATTCAGGAATGTCCCCGCAGCAAGATGCCTAACAAAACAAAATTCAGGGTGAAGGCTTTGCACTGGGACAGCCTGCCGAGTACCTGACCGCCCTCAGCTCTGACTGCCCAGGTCCAGGTCACTGGGGGGCAAGCATGGGCCCGCTGCTGGGGCAGGACGGGGTGGGTTGGGGCTCCCTCCCTCCAGCTCTGGACAGTGCTCTGGAACATGCAGCTCCTTACACCATCAGTGCCCTGCTCTGTCCCCTGGCCCACACTGCCCTGCTGGGCAGCAGCTGTCCTACAAATGGGGACACTGAGGCAGGGCCGCCTATCCCTGGGAGTGAGGCTCTGTGTCGGGCACTTTGAGACAGGAGGGCCTCGTGCCCCATTCATGGTGTCCAGGACGTCACAGGCCACCTCACACCACAGACCCAGGCTCGGCCTAGTGATGAGGAGCAGCCTCTGGTGGACGGACACAGGGTAGCCAGCTGCGCTCGCTGAGGACAGAACACTCTGAGGACGCTAGATGCTCTGATGGGCACGGCTTCCAGGGCCCGCCGTGGCAGCCCCAGGCCATCAGCCTGTGGGTGCCTGGACACCAAGTGCCTGAGGCCCTTGGAGGAGGTGAAGTTCAGGAGCGGAGGGGCGGCCTCTCATGGCAGCGGGCTTGGGATGGGGAATGTGGGGCACTGCGAAGGGTCTCAGGCCCTGGGACTGCCCCACCCCCACACAGGGGTGGTGGTATGGGCGTGGGGCACAGGCAGGTGTCTGAGGACCTGGTGGCACCAGCCCCACCTGCTCAGAACCCTGGGATGTGGAGGTCTCAGACTGTCCTGGATGCTGGCCTGGTGTGGGAGGCCTCTGTGTCCCTGGGCACCGGACCAAACGCAGGCTGTCCCTTCCCTCTACAGGCGCCATGGAGTGGGCGCCAGGCTGCTGGCCTGGACCCCCCAGAGCTGTCCCTGGCTGGGGCTGGCACAGCCTAAGGTAGCACAGGGTGAGGGGGCTCACAGCAGCGGGCGCTCGGCCTGCCCCAACCATCGGCTCCAAGCCCAGCTCCGTTTGGGTGGCTGAGGGTTGCCCCCCAAGTCCTTAGGACACCATTCGCAGAGCACTCGCCTATCCCATCAGTTCACAGCAGTAGCTGCTCCACGCCTGGCTCTGCGCCAGCCCCAGGGAGAAGAGAAGGGAGCTGCATGTCTTCCTGGAAGGAGATAGGGTCGGGATTTCAGCTCCAGAGCAGCCGTTCCAACCATCCCACTTGCAACCAGGGCACAGGCTTTGGTAAGGCCTGGACTTTTGGGGTTCAGGTGAGTGCTAGTGGGGGTACAATGTGTAGTGGTCGAAGCCAGAGATGCTGCTCTGGTCCTGTGCCATACAGCAGCCCCCCACCAAGCCTGAGGAGGTGGCGGTGCCCATCTGAACCATACCCTAGGGCTAGGCAAGGCGACTGCAGGCTCCCCTCCCAAGGGCTTGCCCAGGGCTGAGATTCTGCTCGCACAGCACTGCAGAAACTACAGGTTCATTCACGGCTGCCTGGCGGCAGGGTGCTTCCCGCCAGGCCATGGTGAACAGGAAGGCAAGCTGCAAACAGTCACCCAACAGACGGAAGGAAGTCAGTGGCACAGGTCGGCTGGGGATGGGAGGACCTGGGTGCAGCTCCCTCCTTAACAGGAAGTGTCCTCCCCTGCTCTGGCAGGGGCACGGGGAGCAAAGCCAGGCCAGACAGACCCCTTCACCCTTCACCCTGGGTCTCCTGTCCTTGTCCATAAAATGCATCTTAAGGCTGATGTGTGAGCGGATGCTGGGGGTCCCCGCAAACCCCAAGTGCCAAGCACCCCCAGGAGCTGGGCAGAGTAGCTCCCCACCAGGGTGAAGCAGGAAGGGGAGAGCCCTGTAGGGGACAGTGGCCCAGATCCCTGAGTCACACAAGGCAGCCATGGGAACAGTCCCCCTGGGGAGCCGGGCGAGTATCCCAAGCCAAGGCTGGCTCCCGTCCTCCAGTTCCTCACTGACAGACTCCTGGGAGGGAGCCCACAGTGGCCAAGGGCACTTGGGAATGGACCAAGAAAGACTTCTTCCTACCCGGGCCCACAGCCGGACCAGGGCCCCTGACTCAGAGGACAGAGGCTCCTATGGGTCCCACGTCTCCTGAGACTGGGCTGGCCCTCTGTGTTGCAGGGCGTGGAGAAGGCCCCAGCATGGAAAACTGTGATCTGGAGATGGGGGCAGCCAGAGCCAACCACGGGCACAGCTCCAGGCGGGGGATGGGACACCTCGGTGGCGGGAAAGCCGCTTCTCCACTGGGGACAGCCTCCACGGGGCTTCTGCACTCCAGCCCAAATGGGTTTTGGGGTTCCATGTGCTGGTCAGCTAGGACGTGACTGTTAGAATAGTGTCCTCCCAATCCTCGTCCATCTGGGACTTCAAGATATGCCCTTATTTGGAAAGATGGCCTTTGAACACCCCATAACGAGGGATTTGGAGGTGAACTCAAGCAGGCCCTAAGTCCTATGACCGGCCACAAGAGATGGAGCGGACACTGTGGTGATGCCACCACCAGCCAAGGGACGCCCAGAGCCAACAGGCACAGCGGAAAGAGGCAGGAAGGATCCTCCCTGGGTCCATAGGATTTTAATTGTTGTTCTTTTCTTTTTCTGTGGTCCTCTGGAGACTCTGGATGACACAACTATGCCAACACCTTGGCCTCCGGACTTCCCACCTCTTGCACAGGAAAGGAGGCTTCTGGCGCTGGAGCAGCTGGTGCCCTGGGACAGTGCAGGGACGAGGTGCCCTCGCTCTGCCAGGGCCGGCCTGCTCTGGCGCCTTCTGTGCCTGGGCTGCTGCTGTCTCCGGGCGGGGAGAAGGGCTGACCTTGGCTGGCGGGAGGGAGGGGCTCTAGGCTCTGCCGTCACTTGCTGTCCCCAGAGCCCAGGCCTTGCTGGAGGCAGTGCCAGCACAGGACTGTGGCCAGGCACCCTCTCCAGCTCCCCCAGGCTCTGCCGCCTGCCTCACTGGGCTCTGCCTGTTGTCTGGAAGGGCTTGGGGCAGGAACTGGGTTTGGACGGTGTGGTCAAAGCAGGTGGCCCTGTCCTCTGAAGTCGCAGGGTCAGCCCCTTGGCTGAGATTAGCTGTGGACCTCAGATCTCCATGGAGAGGGCCTTCTCCCACCCAGCCATGGGGGAAAAGCCCGGCTTCCTGTCCTTTGATCCTACCCACAAGGAAAGCACGTGAAGCCATTACTCTTCAAATGCTGAAGCATCATGAGGCCCCGGCGGGCCCAAGGAAAAGGACTCGGGTCCACTGTCAGAGAACACCAACACAGCCGGGGATACAGCTCAGCAGCACAAGCAGCTGCCTGGCAATCACAAGGTCCTGAGTTTTCAGTACAAAAAAAAAAAAAAAGTAAAAGAACACCAACACAGCCAGGCATGGCGGTGCAGCCGGTGACCTCAGCACTCTGACAGGCTGAGGCAAGAGGTTCGAAAGTCCAAGTCCGAGTCCCATCTGGGCAAATTAGCAAGAGCTTGTTTCAGAATTTTAGAAAGGGCTAGGCACGTAGCTCCGCGTGGAGCCTTGGGGTTCAAAAACAGAACCCTCGAGGGAACCTCGATCCTCCACTGTAGCTGCCGAGTCCTCACCCACAGCCCAAGGCATGGCACAGGGGAAGTGTCTTCAAGGTGGCACATGGGCACGGTCCTAAGCGCACCACAAGGGGCGTTCTGTCTCCAGAGCATAGCCACCCAGCTCAGGACTGAGTGAGAGTCTGGCAGGAGTCTGGGTACAGCGTCCTGCCTGTCCTCGTGTGACCCACGCCAGCAGGCTACCCTGTCACAGACCCACAAGCTGGATCCCCATGAAGGGGCAGCCAGGGCTCCGCCCAAAGTTTGCCTTGGCAGCCCAAGGCGGGCTGTGGCTGGTTTTCCCCGCTCGGTTAACGTCCCCAGGCTCATCTGGGATCCACCAAGCTCCATGCAGCAGAGCAGCGCCTTGAGCGTGGATCCTCCTGTGGCCAGAACAAGTCCTCCACTCAGGTGTGGAGCCCCAACCCCAGCGCAGCGGCACCTGGACACAGGGCCGCAAGGGATGACTAGGGACACACAAAGCCCTGGCCCGACAGGACGGATGCGTGTCCTCACTCGGGGACCCTGTGGGTTCCCCGTCTGCCATGCAGGGACCCAGATGAGACTGGCAATGACCCCGCCAAGTCTGTCCTCACGCGGTTGAGCAGATGCCGGGCTCCCTGGGGTGGTGCGAAGCTGCTCCTCACAGGATTTGGGTCCCCTTCTGGGCTAGGTGCTCACTACTGGGACTCCTGAGGCAGACAGCCCTGCTGTCTCTGTGCTCACGGAAGCCGGCAGGAGCCAGGAGGAGGTACAGAGCAAGAGCTCAGGCTTCTGGGGTGCCTCTTGGACTTTCTGGGTAATGGTCCCACGGGCTCTTGGCACACTGGATCCCACCACCCGCCTGGCTGCTCTTCTGGAACTTTGATGCCAGCCTTCCCCTTATACCTCCAACACCCACCACAAAGCCCACGAGCAAATGCTTACGGCCCTGCAGCATGGCCTATCGGGACACTCCACGAGTTCCTGAGCCCCTACACCACGCCATGGTCCCAGTCCACCTACTCTGTGCACCAGCCGCAGGATGGAGGGGCAGGACAGGACACCACACTTCTCCCAGCCCGGGGGCCTGGCCAGTGTAACAGCTAAGAGGAAACGACTGTTTCACAAACCAGGAAGTGCCCGACACTGGGAAGACCCAGAGGAGCCGGGCTCACAGGCTGCAGACCACGTGCAGGTGCCCGGGTCGGGGTGTCAGGGGGGCCTGAGCTTGGAGCCTTCTCTTCCAGGACCCCTGGCAGTGAGAGGCAGGGGAGGTGACCACTCACAAGCAGCCAGGCTGAGACATCTTTGCTTTTTGTGCACACAGTGAAGAGGTCAACTGTGGCCGCAGAGGGACCCTGAGCCAGCGACACGACGTGGGAGGAGGACAGAAAGTTTCAGTGGAACCTCCTTCGTCCGCGTGGTGTCTGGTCTGACTGCCGGAGGAGGATTAGTGTGTTCTCCACCAGACTCTGCGACTCAGCAGAACCACAATAGGTCTCATTGTGTGTCCTGGGGGGGGGACCTGGTCCCTGCCGGGTGCAGGAATCAGGCCGTCAGCACCCCACTCCCACCTCGGCCTCGGAAACAAAGGCCCGGCTGCCATTTCTGTTTGGGAACAGCCTGGCCTCAGGCCACAGCCCCACGCCACCCGCCCGCCTGCCTGCCTGTCTCCTTGACCCCCATAACTTCCCCGTGTCACCTGTCCAAGCCACCATCACCCACCCACCACCCCGAGTCCCGTGACAGCCAACGTGGGCATGGTCCCCCTGCACATGCTGGGCTAAATGCAGCCAGACACCTCACATGACACCTGCCCCCAAGAACCCCCCCCCGTATCACCCCACCTGCCCCAGCCAGGGGTAGCTGAAGCTCCTCCCGCACCCCAGGGGCCCAGGAGCCTGCAGAGGGCCGCTCCCTGCACTTGGCTGCCTCTTCCTGCACTGGAGCTTGGGGAGAAGCCGCTGCCCTAGGACCTCCCCGGCCCCAACTGTGAGTCCTGTGCACAGCGTGCAGCATGCTCTGTCCCTGTACAGGGAGCAGGCCCCGGGTGGCAGGGTGCATCCTCAGTGGGCGCAGGGGCTGGGAAGCTCTGCAGAAGTCCACCAACTGTGCACCAGCTCATGGCCAGACAGCCAGAAATGGGCAGCACGGGAAGGCGGAGCCCACTGCACCAGGGCCAGTGGTGCCGGGTGGTGAGGAGGCAGCAGTTCCAGGGCTGGACGGATGGGCACCCAAGGCAAAGAGGACCCTACTTCTCCAAGCCCACATAGGTTTTTTTTTTTTTTCCGGGACCGGGAATCAAACTCACAACCTCGCACTTGCCAGGCAGACGCTGCACCACTGAGCTAAATCCCCAGCCCCTCCAAGCCCACATAGGGACGAGGGACAACAGCCCCTTTGTGCACTACGGGGGTCTCTGCCTTGAGGGACCCTGGGCACAGCCGCCTCCATGGGCATGGGGATCTCAGTGTGCAACAGTAAATAAAGTGGGGCAACTATTCAGGGAGAAAGGGTCACCCCCTCAACGTCCTCCAGAGTGAAGGCATCTGTCTGGAATAGCGCAAACCTCTGGGGAAGCAAGTGGGACAGGAATTCTGCAGACTCTGCATGGCGTCGCAGAGGTCACAAAGGAACTGCTGGGGCGTTGGGGTGTTTCCACAGCAACTGGGATTATACACATGTTGTATATTCAGGCTGAACAAAAGTTCTTTGCTGTCCCTACTGGAGTTTGTTTTTACTAACAGGTTCCCCCTCCTAAATTCCTCACCGGTCCATCAGATCACAGCAGTCTCCTCCCCAAAACTGTGCAGAGTGGCGCCTGCCTGGCTGCGCGAGGTCTGTGGGTGGGGACGCTCGTCCTTCTGCCCATAGCAGCCCTCACTCCCGGGTTCCCTCCCTGCCGCTGGCCACCCCTTCTGCAGTGGGCGCCATCCTCCCAGGGTCCTAGAGCTTCGAGTGTGTCTCCCCCTTGGGAAGGTGCTGGGCGCCGAGTCCAGGAAGCTGCCCGCCCGGCGAGGGCACAGGTGGCAAGCAGGGCCCAGGCCGGCCTGCGATGGTTCGGGAGGGGCGTTCCGGTGACTGGGTGACCAGTGGCTCTGAGGATGAGGTTCTGGAAGTACAACCTGGGCCACTGCGTGGTCACCTGGGAACTGTGGGGGGCGGGACGAGAGGGGCCCTTCAGTGATGACGGGAACAACAGGAGCAAGTGCTGCTGGGTACTCACTAGGCCAGGAGCCCTGCAAAGCCTACCTGCCCCAGAAGTCCGTCTCAACATGCCTCCCCCTTCCCCTTGAGGTGTCCGGTGAGATGCCCCAGAGGAAGGACGCATGGGCAAGGCCAAGGCTGGCCGCAGAGCGTGAAGGAGCCAACGGGAAGGCACACTCGGCCTCCCGCCAAGTCCACAGCCCTGAGGCCTCAGGCCGGGCACGCAAGGGGGCGTGGGCTGCATGGAGCCTGGCCCTGGAGGGCCTCGCAGGGCTTTGGACGGGACAAGAGGAGGGCAGGAAAGGACATCAGGGCTCACCAGAACCCTATCTCCCGCCCACAGTGGGGCGCCGAGCCCATTTCCTGTCTGCTGTATGCCCCAGGTCCTGGCTGCCTGCAGGAGCGTGACAGGCTGGCAAAGCTGCCGGTGCACCAGTGTCCCGTGCCTACCTCCCTGGGGCATTCTCGTACCAAGCCAACTGCGTGCCAGGGGCACTGCCTGAGTGTGGAGCCCACAACCCACCAAGCTCCAAGCTTCCCTGGGAGAGTACTCAGAGCCGAGGAGTGTGTTCCCAGGCCTGCGGTCACCTGGAGGGGACTGCTTAATAACTGTGCACGTGCTTACTCTGGAATATTACACGGCTGTGGAAGAGGAGGTGGAACACAGGCAAAGACGCAGGAGGAACTTCATACGTGATGTGTGCGTGTGTGAACATACATACACACACCCAGCAGCACCCACCCACTTGTTCTGAGCTGACCGAGAACGTGGGTGCACAGGGACACACTGTGCTCACTCTCCCGCCTGCCTGTCCCAGCCCCAGCAGCCCCAGGGCAAAGGCAGCTAGGAAAGGAGACTTAGAGACACAGTGACCTGCCTGCAGTCACACAGCCTGTGATCAGAGCTGGGCCGTCGGGCCTAAAAGCCCAACGCTGCTGTGCCCTGGCCCTGTGTGTGGATAGGAGGTGTGTCTCCATGGCAGGATGTATAGGTTTCTGTCTCGTTTTTTACCCTCACTTGAGCTTTCACTTCCATTTAACAGAAAAGGAGAACAATATTCCTCTGCCTACACAGGTGGCCATACTCCCAGGCCTGGTGCCCATGCCCAAGGACAGACGCCGTCCTCCTGGGGGGACTCTCCCCACTGAGGGGCTCCTGGTGCTGCTGCTGGACCTAAAGCCAAGCAGCTCCCCACCCCCACCCCACCAGGACCTGCAAGAGAGTTATGGGAGCAGTCACACAGCCCCGATACCCTGAGAATGTTCCAGGCATGTATGTGGGGGCGTGGGTCAAGGGGCAGGCTCAGCATGGGACGCTCTGCACCCTCCCCCGGACCAGGGTGGATTTGACCCTGGGTGCTGAGGACTCAGGAATGTCGCTGCTCAAACCGCAGAAAATGAAGAGCTCCTGCCCAGGTCCCCGAGTGGGCGCCTGGCTCTGGGCATGTTCCCTGTGGGACCTGCTGGGCCTGTCTCAAACGGAAAAACCCCACGCCACGGCACAGTGCTCGGGACAGGAGTCCCACATCCCGTGAGTCAGACAAAGAGCAGGCGCCATGCACCAGGCTGGGGCCGCACTCACCCTTTCCAATCTGGATGAAGCCGAGCAGGATGATCAGGGCCAGGGCCAGGAGCTTGGCAGCCGCAAAGGCGTCCTGCACACGGGTGGCAGCTTTCACACTGTAGCAGTTCACGGCGGTGAGCAGCACTGTGGGGACAGAGACGGTGTGAGTCCCCACAGCCAGGGAGGTCAGGAAGCCGGAGTCGGGGCTGGGACCCTAGGGAAGCAGGTTGTGTCCACACCAGCCCCTCCTGCTGGCTCCCCTGTCTGGGCTGGTTTTGGTAAACTTGCTGGTTCTCTACAGCCAAGGTCAAAGGTGAAAACACCAAACTCTTAAAAGTGCCAGCATCCCTGGTGCCCCTGGACTGTCTTAACGGATTTCCCTTAGAAGGAGCAGCCTCCTGAGGGACCTGCTGCCCATTCCCCGGAAGAGCCCACTTTGGACTCTGGGGAGATTCGCAAGCTGGCCACTGGGAGGATGGCTGTGTCCCCTGCACCCTGGTGACCTTTGGCAGTGTCTGTGGGCGCAGTGAGTACCCCTCCCTGATGACCTGGGTGCTAGCAGACGAAACACAGGTGTCCTGTTAGCAGGGATCTGTGCTGAACCCGGGACAACAGGGCCATGTGGAGCTGGCCCATGACTGTGGCGAGGGAGGAGACACAGGGACCCTCCTCATGCCAGGACACCTCCTGTAGCCACAGCGCCGGGCAGCCAGGGTGAGAGGCAGCACGTGCGGGCGTTCTACTGAGAAGAGTTGGTACTGAGAACTGAGAACGCACACCCGCTGTTTACCGGCACCAAGCAGCCGCACCTGCCAGTCTGAAACCAGCGCCTGGAAAGGCCTGGGAGGACTATGGCTTCTGAAGGAGACGAGGGGGTCAGGCCCACAGGCAAGCAGCCGAGGCAGTGCCCAACACCCCAGTCCTGTCTGGGCCCCCGGACACTAGCAAACACAGCTGTTCTCTAACAGAAGGCAAACAAAAGTATATTTAAAAAGGCGACAAATACTCACCGCCCACCCCTTCCTACTGCGTAATTTCTGCTCACCGTATGCCTAAGGGCCAGGTGGCCGCGGAAGCCTGCACTGAAAACTCTCCATGACGCGAGCCACATCACGCCTGGCTGCGGGAACCTACACAGACGTCACAGGCGAGACCTCCTCCTGGTCACCAACCGCAGTCAAACATTAACCAGTGCCCTCCCCACCAGGGGCTGCGAGAGCCTGAGATCTCCGCCCCCACGGACAGCTCTGAGAGGCCAGGTCAGCTCGGGCCAGGACATCAGGCGGCTTTCCTTCAGCTGCACTAATTATGTGAAATTTCAGGACCAGGTCTCGGAAAAATGAATCTGCGCTAACTAGCTGGATGGGGCCCGCGCTTCAGGGGGCAGGAAAACAGGACGGCTCCCTGAGTCTGGGCAGGATCCTGGATCCCACCCACCATGGCAACTCCTCTCCGGAAAGGACTGGGCCTCAGCAGCGTCTCCGTAGCTCCGGCTGATGCAACACACCGGCCCACTGCCGTGTGCTGGGAAGCTCGCTTGGAGGTGTGGGACTGCGGTTACTGTTACTGCAATGGCCGACGTGACCACTCGGGGACTCCCAGCACATGGGACGTGGGGATGAGCTGCGGACGTCCCTTTTCCTGTGCTCGGGAAGGAAATGCTTCCAGTCTGGCTCCCTCTGTCCTGCCATCTGGTTGCCAAGCTCTGAGCATGGTGTGCAGTGTGGGGCCTGCTCTTAGAAGAGTCACAATTCCTAAGGGACCAGCGGCTCGGGCAGCGGGCAGCACCTCCGCCCCTCCCCCAGGCCCGGCTCGGCTTTCCGGCTGCAGCAAGAAGCCAGCATGTTGCATCAGTCGCCCCAGGGGCGGGACGGGGCGGGGCCCAGACACCGAAGGCGGTCGCCGTGGTCTCGGGTTTCCCAGTCTCTGCAGGGCGACTGTGTTGCTGCCGTGCCGGAGGTCAGAGCTGGCGGGCTCCCTCTCCCCGCTTTTCAGGTGCAGACCCTGGGTGTCCAGGAAAGGGGACAGCGAAGGTCTCTCCGGACAATGCACCGCCCTGGCCCTAGGCAGGGGCCTCTCCTCTGCCACCCACGCCTGCCCTGCCAGAGATCTGAGCCAAAAAGTCAGTGGACAAATGAGGCCAGCAGGTGCCCAGCCACGGCCACTCGGCACGGCTCCTCTTCCCACCAATGCCGACCTGTCCTGACATGGGAGTAACCAGGTCGTGGCCTCCAGGGTGGCTGGGGCGGCCAGGGACAAAGGGGACTTCACAGAGCTATTTCTCTCATAAAAGCACTGGAGTGGATGATGAAACCTCAGTGCCACTGATGGGACGATGGGCAGGGCAAACAAGGGCCTCATTATCCTCTGCGAGTCCTTTTCTCAACATTTCAAAATGAAATAGAATCTTAAATAAATGAATTCATCTGGACCCAATGCCTTCTGGCCTGCACAAGACAGTCTTCACAAGACACTCTCGGGAGGGGTCCCTGAGCTGACCTAACCCTCCACTCCCACCCTGACCCATGGCCTGGCTCCCCAGCCACAGGCAAGAGGCTGGCACTTGAGCTTGGCCGCTGACTGCCATCCTTGGTAACTTGCAGCCTCCAGCAAGGGACCAGGGGAGGGTGCTGCATGCGAGAGGGCACCCACGTAAGCATGCCTGCCTGGCAGGAGGCAGGGAGACAAAATACGCGGCCCCTCCCTGCTGAGGGCTGGGCGGGGTGCACCACTCCTCCCCTTGGGCCAAGCTAGCAGCAATTCCTGTCTCAGGGACATCCCCCCAGGGCCCGCCCCGCTGGCCACAGGTCCCACAGCCTAAGCAGCAGGTCCCTCAGCAGGGGCATGACCCGAGTCCAGCCGGGGTCCTGCTGGGCTCACTGTCCCCCTCCACTCAGGTACCTCCAGCCCTGCCTGGGCCAGCCCCAGTTTGGGCCAAGGAAATATACTCATTCTCTGGGCATGCCTGACAGCAGCACACTGCCCAGCCAGGGAAGGGCCACCCTCCACACACAGCCCACACCAGAACACCTGTCCCCTTGGAGCTCAAGCTTCAGGCACAGACCATGGGACGCAGTCCTTTGTCCCTTGAGACTCACCCAGGACAGAGTCGCTGCTGTGACATCAGCTGGGGACTCCCCAGGAGTTAAGAGGGTATACTCTGGGCAGGGTGATGCTCAGGGAGAGGAAACTGCTGCCTACATGGGCGAGGCCAGGCAGCTGAGGGTGGCTCTGCCCAAACTCTGCCAGCCACACCCGTCTCTTGTAGGCCCCTGAGCCAGGAGAGAAGAAACTAGCCCAGGCTACGCTGGTTCCAGGAAGCACTGTAGGCCTGGCCCCTGGGCAGTACAGCTGGCACCAGGTCAGAGAACAGCGCCAAGGACCACAGCAACAACAGCTGGTTGAGACCTGGGCTCCCGCCCAGCCCGGCCCAGTTCCCATCAGCTGGAGTCTCAGCCCAGGACCCAGGGGCCCTGTCTGCAGAGGCCACCGCTTCTAAGGACAGTTCCACCCGCATCCCCCCGCACGCAGGGAGACGCTCACTAAAGCCAGTGACTGCTTCCCCTTGACATTGAAGCAGCCTAGCTCCTCCACCTCCTCTGCCATCCCTGGCCTCTACCTTTCCTGCCCTGCACTCTTATCCCTGCCAGGAACTGTCAACCCTGTGGCTCTGCCCCGCCAGGATCCTGGGGGCCCCCAGATCTTCTGTCAGGCAGGTCCAGGATGGGCCCAAGAACCTGCACCCAGCCCATCTTTAGGCTATTCTCTGCAGAGAACCCACACATGCAGCTCGACACCTCCCAGCTCACGTGGACTTGGGCTCAGAGTCAGGTGCCTCTTCACCAAATGGGGTGGGCTGGGGTGCAAAGGAAAATGCAAGGACCCCAGGGAGGAGTCAAGAAAGACCTCAGGGGCAGAGGAGGGGCCGCCGTCTGTGACCTGGGGGATGGGGCAGGGGTCTCAGGGCTGTTCTTCCGCCTCCACGCCCCCAACACCCGCTTCCAATCCTGTGGAAAGCCCTGACTAGAGGCTGGCAGCACACTTTCAAACTCGGGTCTTCACGGCTTTCCTTTCCTTTCATTTTCCCTCGGTGCTGTGGATGAACCCTTGGCCACACGCACGCTGAGCTGCCCCGGCCCCCTTTCCATTTCTAACCGACCACACACAGCTCCGGCTGGCACAGGGGCGGGGTACCAGCGACCACCCAGAACAGAGCTGTCAGTCTTTTCACTGCAGGCCAGAAAGAGGTAGATCAGAGTCCAAGTGCTGGCTGACATCTCACGTCTAGGGCAAAGGAGGAGACCCCCAGACAGTGACTTCTTTACCAGGGCTCTCCTGATGACAGTTTCCCAGGGCACAAACATTTCCTAGTGGTGCCATGGCTTGTCTCAGGCACCTGAGTTCTGCCAGGCTGTGACCTGGGGTGAGTTACCTAACACATCCGAGCCTGCTCCCTCCTCCACACAGCAGTGCTGTGTCCTGCTCTGTGGGGGAAGTAACATGTGCACACATGTGTGCCACAGGACCTGATCATTCATCAGGCAATCGCCCGGGGCGCTGAGGCTGTACGCAGGTGATAAGGAGTCTGTCTCCAGCCTGCAAAGCCTCTCAGCCTGCGCCCTGTGACACTCCAACTCCGTGGAGAAAAAGGGGCAGCCCGCCAGCCACGGTCTCTCAAGAGGAGGGATGTTACTGCATCCAGCCCAGCACCTGCGTGTGGCAGCTAGGATGGACGGAGCTCGGAGAGGGAGTGAGCAAGAACACACAGGTCTCCTACGTCCCAGTGCTGTCAAAACCTGGCTATCTTATTATTCGACCAACTCTTTTTTTTTTTTTTTTGGTACCAAGAATCGAACTCATGACCTCAGTCTTGCCAGGCAAGCACTTATGCCACTGAGCTATATCCCCAGGCCTATCTTATTATTATATATATATTTTTTGTCTTTTTGAGACAGGGTCTCACTATGCAGTTCAGGCTGGCCTTGAGCTTACTTTGTATCCCAGGCTGATCTTGACTCGCAACAATCCTCCTGCCTCAGCCTCCCGAGTGCTGGGATTACAGGTAGGCGCCACCATGGCTGGCTCCAGCTATCTTAAAGAAGCTCCAGGGCCATGTGGATACCACCCCAGGACTGGCTAGTAGC